CGGCACTCACGCGCAGAGAGCACTATGTTGGTGGGCGGTGGGTGCAGGCCGGTTGGATGGCGAGTGGGAGGAGATGGAGCGGCGCGACGAGGAAGTGGCGCGTGCGCTGCAGCGCGAGGAGCACGAGCGCGCAGCCGACATCGAGCGCAAGGACGAGCAGCTGGCCCACCTCATCGCCGTCCAGGAGCGGCGCCAGGAGGCCCTCCGCCGGCGCCGGCGGCAGGAACAGACCATCGCCGCGGCCGACGAGGCGAGACGGCGGCGCGAGGCCGACGACGCCGAGTACGCGCGTACGCTCCAGGAGCAGTTCGACGCGGAGAAGAAGGGGGACGCGGAGGTGAAGCGCATGATGGAGCTGATGGAGGAGGAGGAGGCCTCGATGTCGCTCATCCGCCAGCTGCTCGGCCATGAGAAGCAGTTCCGGGGCCACCACCACGCTGAGGACTTGATGAAGCACTCGGGTACGTTTACATCTTATTGCGCTCCCCAAGACACGACACACGCGCACTGACGCATACGACACACGCACGCACACACAACACACACGCACACACACACACGCACACCACACACACACACCAGACGATCAATTGTGCGAGGCGCTGTTTGCCGGGAACATTAACGAGTTCCTCACGGAGGACACGCGACAGGTGACCGACATCAAGCGGGTGCTGCAGGTGGAGCTCGTGCGTCGCTTCATGGCCAAATGGCTCGAACTCAAGCGCACCTACGGTACTCCTGCCCACACACGCACACACACACGCCCGCACGTGTGGCTGACGGGCGGGTTAGGGTCCTACGCGGAGGAGGCGCGGCCGCGGTTGGGGTTCCACGGGACTCCCGAAGCGAACATCCCCAACATCCTCCAGCAGGGCCTGCTCGTACCCGGCACCCACGGCGTCATTAACCGCACTGACGACGGTACCCAGCCCATGCCCTTCTATTCCTTTCTGTTACCCGCCATTGACGTGCGTGTGCGTGCGCGCGTGGTTCGGGCCTAGGCTATTACGGGGCGGGTATCTACCTGTCGCCGGACGCCAGGACCTCGCTCGGCTATGCGGGCGGGTGCGGCAAGCTGCTGGTGTGTGCGGTGCTCATGGGTCGCATCTACAAGTGCGAGGACCTCATGCACGGCGCCCCTTGCACGCCCGGTACGTCCGCCCAGATCGATGCCTCCATTGAATCACACTCGTACTTGGCAACACCACCGGCTGCTGACCCATCGATGTGGTTCCACGTCACGCCTTTCTCGGCCGCGCGGCAGGCTTCGATAGCCACATGTCGCCCTGCGAGGGTGAGCTCATTTTGTTTGAGGCCGCCCAGGTTCGTGGCCGCATTCACGACACGACACTACACACACGCTCCACACACGACACGCACGGCACACGACACGACACACACGGCACATGCCGATGTTAACACAAGTTGGCTGGAACGAGCAGGTGCTGCCGTGTTTCGTGATTACCATCGCCAGCGCCGTGCACCGGCCCATGCCCACATCGGCGCCACCGTACCAGTCGACGGCCCACCTCACGGCGAAGAAGGCGGCCAAGGCAAAGGGCGGGCGCACGCCCAAGGCCACCGCCAAGCTGAAGCGTCAGCGGAAGCTCGCGCGTCGCGCCCAAAGAGCGGCCAAGGGCGGACGCAAGAACAAGTGAGAATCATCGCTTGACTGTCTCGCATCAACCTGTGTACTGCATTATTCATAATATTCATTTTCATTATTATTATTTAGTTGAACATGAACATGACCATAGGTGTAGATGGGCGGGTTGGGATCAGGGGAGGACGGTGAAGTCGAACACGATGACGCCGTCCTTGGGGTCGAGGAGCGGACCCACGAACTGCTTGAAGGCGTCGTGGTGGGGATCGTAGGGGAAGTGGAATGGACGGCCCACGAAGTAGTTCCTCTCCGCCACCGACGAGAAAGTCGAGATATACCCTAAAATTTTCATCCATACTTAATATAATCCACTTGGCTGGGCTAATTAAGGTGAGAGGGAACTACTTGAGCGTGGGCGGTGGCCAGGAAAGTGGCGATGGCCAGCACTGTTAGCAGGACGATGGACAAGCGGCTCATTGTTTGGTTGTTTGGTTTTAGTGCGCTCTTTGCCCCGGCTTGTGTTTGATGGCGGACCAGAGCGAAAAGACAACACCAATTCCATTCTTGAAGACATGTGGGGAAAATGCCTTTTTATTCCCTATTGGTCCCTCCTATGTGGGGATAAATCCCGTTGTGCACTGGAGAAAAAGAAAGGTCACATGGCCAAAGGTCCAGAGGTGGGACCTCCTTTGGCGATATCATGGAATGTGTAGTGGCCAACTTCTTTAGGTTCTGCAGTTCATGTTCTGTATGTCGCAGACAAAACGTTGGCCCCCCGTCAATGACTTTTCACCAATAAAAAATTTGCAGTATAAGTACACAGGACCAGGCACAGAAGAAAGCAATGGAGCTCACCCAGGCAGCACTCATGAGGGAGGTGGAACGCTGCATCCCAGTGCACATTGTTAGGGACATCATCCAATTTGCTGAGCATAGCCAGCCAGCCCTCTGGGGGCAGAACCATGGGCACATGTTTGTGTGTTGGTGGGTGCTGCTTGCCCTTTACAAGGACCTCTACACCATCAGCTATGATCGCCTGTTCAACATGGTCAAGGCATGGCTCAAAGGGGGCAACTGTACCCTTCACCACAACACCCATATCCTTCATCATCACTTCAAGGCATGGGGGAAATCAAAGACACAACTCAGCAACCAAGTGGAATGGGCGTGCATGGCTGGTCATCATTGGTTTACTGGCATCATCCATGACACCTGCCTGTGGATTGACTCAATGGACCTCAGGCTCAAGGGCAAGTCCACCATCTCACATAAGGATCCCTCCTGGTCATTCAAGAAGAACAGCCCAGCCCAGCACTTCATGGTCCTTCAAGATGCCAACTGCAAGATTTGAGCAGTCTGGGGTGGCTACACACCAAAGCTCCATGATGGCGAGTTTCTCAAGCTACAGTGAGACTGGATTGAAGAACACCTCACAGGAGCAACCATCATCGGCGACAACCACTTCTCATGGGGCAACACCCTCAACAATGTCAAGTTCGTGACCCCCAAGGCCTGTGCAAGAGGAGATGCTATGACCATGGAAGGAGTCCAACAGCTCACCAAGGAGGACAAGAAGAACAACAAGCTCATCCATGCCACTCACACACGGGTTGAGGGGCTGTTTGGGAGGATGAAGGAGACCTTCATGGCCTTGAAGGGTCCCTTTGCAGATGGGGAGGAACAGCATACCTGTGTCTTCTGGACAGCTGTTGGAGTTCACAACAGCCGTGCATAGATGAATACATGGTCTAGTTTTCCATTTATTAGCCCATTCTTCGATGTCCATGGTCGTTTTCCTCAGTGCACGCCAACAAAAAAAACTCTACGGGGACCAGCCATTTTTTGTTGGACGTACGGAACAATAGGAACGTACTGACGGACAGAGTTCGTTTTGTTCACTTGGCGCGCGGGCGAGGCGGAATGATGACGGATCCGTCGTGCAGTGGCGGCGCATTGTCCGGCTCATTGTCCCGAGGTTGGTCACCTATGTAGGGCGCAGGTGAGAATGTCAGCACACACGACATGTCCCAACGACACGACACGACACGACACGACACACACTCGGTTGCGGGCGGGCGGGCGCACCTTTTCGGCCGACGTAGGGGGAGGAAGTGGGCGTGGAGGCGGGCGAGAAGGTCTCAGATGAGGAGGTTAGGGTGAGGTCATCCTTCGACCCGTTCTCATCTTCGTCCTCGTCGGAGTGATCGCCTGCGATGTCGTCTACCTCGTCGTCCTGCCCATATTTCTCTGCGCGAAGACGGCAACGTCAACAACACCACACACGGCACACACGGCACACACGACACTCACGACACACACGCGAGCGTGAACACACGTACTGAGGTATTTCTTTCCGCGGACGGTGAGTTGCGCGGGCGACTTGATCTTCTTGGGCTTGTCGCAGATGTACTCGATGAGCTTCTTGAAGAAGAGCCGGTTGTTCAGGATCTCCCTGTGTTCCACCTGCATCATCACCGTTTTCCCTTCTTCAGCCCGAAGAACGAAGAAGAGCGAAGAAGAGCGAAGAAGAAAGGAGGCGTACGCCTTCGAGCTCGTCGATGCGGAGCTCGGGGATATCCTTGCGCCAGCTGGCGCAGTGGTTGAGGGACGCGTAGGTCACCGTTCCGTCGCCTGCGATGGTCATACAACGCCGTCAGCGATTGCAGGTCCATTGCAAGCAGCCAAAAGGCGTCGACGCACCAGACGCGTAGCCCTTGCGACCGGTGAGCTTCTCTATGCACGGCTGCAGAGTCTCCGCCGTCTCAAACCCGACGCCCTGGGACCCCTCCGAGTGAGCCAACGTAACTTTGCCGCGACACACACGCCACACGACACACGACACACAGTTCACAAGCTTGCGTGGTGGGTCTCGTACGCCGGCGATCTTGAGGCAGGCAAGCTTGGGGTCCTTGGCGTCGTACTGGGGGTTCTCGTCGAGGACCCACCACTGGGCCTCCTTCTCCTTGTCCTTGCGGCGGTAGAAGTAGATACGCTCGGTGTCGAGGTTGGTGCCGTAGATGGCGTAGAGGCGGTTGAGCGGGGGCGCGGCCACGATGGGCCACTCGCTCTCGTCGTCGCCTCCATCGGAATACACCGGGTCGCTGACGTAGTACTTGTTGAAGATCTCCACCGTTTTCTGCAACACGCCCACGACACGACACGCCAAGACACACGAATGAGACGCACGACACGCACGCACGAGACACGCACAGCACAGGGTGTCAGCGAGCGCAAGGTGCGTGAGCTTCCTGCGCCGACAGAGCAGCGCACCTGGGCGCCGGCGATGGGGAAGAACTTCCAATAGGGAACGGACTGATGCGGTTTGGCCTCGTCGAGCTTGGCATAGATCACGCCCACGCCGAGGTCGTCGTATTGCCTGGAATTGGGTGGCGTTGTGTGGATTTGGGTTGGGTTAGGTCGGGTTAGGTTGTACTGCGCAGCACCTGCGTTGGCGTTGGCGTTGCGTAGCGGTGCTGGGTCGCTGTACAGCTTCGAGATGGGCATGAGCGCGGGGGTGCTGCCGAGGGTACGCCCGAAGGCCTTGGCTTCGCGGGACGAGAGCAGGAGGTCCATGCCGAACCGATCGCCGGAGATCTGCGTCCCCCGTACCACATCGGTGTGCGCCCAACCACGAGCGTGAGTGAATGAGCGTGATTGAGCGGGGGTCGATCAAAGGTACGGGCGTACCATGCCACGCACGCACTTGGGCGAGCCCAGGAACGGCGCACCCACCGCGACGAACGTGTGCACGTTCTCGTCCAGCCACCTGCGCGACCCCGTGCGCTACAGCGCCGCACAACAGCCGAGCGGCAACAACAACAACAACAACACAGTGAGTGGCATCGAGTCTCGACGAGGTTCGATGGAGGGGAAATCGAACCTTGACCACCCACAGGCAGAAGTACTGGATGATTCGGTTGCCCATGGAGTGGCCCAGGAGCACCACCTGCGCGGCACATCGTCAATTGAAGAAGTCTTGGTCAGTCGACAGACATAGAGACAGACAGACAGACGCCATCAGCGAAGCAGCGGTGGCGGGCGAGGCGTACGGGCTTCTTTTCGCGCTTGGCCATCTTCTCGATCGCGGTCATGAGCCAGGTGAAGTAGCCGTCGCGTTCCTGTGTGCGTAGACGCCCAAGGCCAGCGGGCGTGAGACAGCATCGCGTGCGCACAGGTGCGGTGGCGGCGTGGTACGTACCTCCAGGTAGAAATAGGGGAGGCGCCAATCGTACGGCGCCGTGAGGAGGTTGACGCCGTCCGTGTAGCCGAGCGACTCCAGATTCTCCACCAGGGGACCCATCACCTGCGAGTGCACCAACACACGCGTTAACACAACACGACACACGACACGCACGACACGCACGACACACACGACACACAATTCTCGGGCTGGGTCAGTTGATGGTGGTGGCGTACGTAGGAGAGGGAGCCCGTGAGCAGGCCCGGGTCGAGGTAGGTCACGGCTTGCTTGCCCTGGATGGCCCGCACTTTGATGCCGGCGGGGTCGCTGCGGCAGTCGTCGCCGTGGAGGCACAGGTGCTTGATCCAAATGTTCTGGTGGGCGGGGGGGGGTGTTGTTGCCAACAAAGAAGCAATCGTCAGCCAATGCAACTTGGCTGGTGAGCGAGCGAGCGTGAAAGTAAGAAAACAAGAAAACAAGAAGAACGCACCTTGGTACCGAAATCGAGGGTGTCGTAAGCATTTTTGTTTCGCCCAATGTCGAACTTCCTGATGTGTTTGGGCGGGTGAATACGAGCGAGCGCGAGTGAGCGGTTGGTTGGGCCACAATGGCGGTGAAAAGGAAAAGAAAAGAGCGGAGACCTCTTGACGTTCTGGAGACCGATCTTGTTGAGCGAGATCCACACGCGATCGCCGACCCAGGGCTTGTGGCCCTCGATCACCTCCAATCCAGACGAGGCGAACCCTGCCCACACCAATTCATGCCCCCCACACACACACACACACAACGGCGTCCATTGTCAACGACTGGACTGGTGCGACCGACGGGCGACCGCCTGGGGTTGGGGGCAGCGTACCGGGAACGAGCACGATGGGCATGTTCGGGGTGTAGCCCTGCTCGGCCATCTGCTTGCCCAGCTTCTTGGAGATGCCCTTCTGGGTCAACGGCGGACCGCACATCACCCACCAGGTGTCCTGAATGAAGTCGGTCTCGAGGTCTTCGAGGAGGACCGAGGCGTCGCCCACGAAGTTGCTCGTTCCTATGTAACGCGCGCGACCCGGTGAGCGCGAGTGGTATGGGGTGGTATGATGTGGTGTGGTATGGTATGGAAGAAGGGGCGGCAAAGGTTGGCGGTACGTACCGAGGAGGGACCAGTCGTAGAGGTCGACGTCGAACGTGGCGGACGCCTGTTCGGGCGGGATGTAGAAGAAATAGTTCGCATTCCACACGGGCGCGCTCGTGCTCTTCTTCGTCTTCGTTCTCTCGCGATTCTGTCCATTAAAAAAAACATGAAAACACGCACACACCGCACACACACGCATACAGCAACCCTCAGTGAGGATGAATGACGAGGGATTGGGGGGGGGGGAGAGAAGGGAAAGCGGTACGGCGCCAACGGAAAGAACGACGTAGGGATCGACCACTTTGTCGCCCAGCATTTTGATCTTTCGGCCCTCGACCACCTTCAGCGTGAGATAGCCCTCCCACGCTCCCATCGGCGGGTTGTACAAATACCTAGACACACATACCGGTCGACCAATCAGCCAAAACACACACACCACCCAACAGACACGCATGGCGGCGGTGATGCTGGTGGCGGGTTCGTACTGGAGGTGAATCTCGCCCACGCCGCGCTCCAACTCACGGTGCGCACGACGGCGCTGTCGTTCCTCCTTCTGCTCGCGTTTCATCTCCCGCTCCTCGGGCGTCAGGTGGTCCTCCGGCTTACCATCGGCGTTGGTCTGCTCGCAATCACAACACAACGAACTTGATCAGTTGGGCGGGCCTTGCGTGTTGTGGGTGTGTGTGTGTACGGGAGCGCACCTTGAAGTGGAGGTTGAGACTGATCTCGCCGTGCACGTTCGACTTGCGACCGTGGGTGGGGTGGAGCGGGAACCAGCGCGAGATGTTCTTGTTGTAGGGTATGGTATTGAACGGAATGTTGATCCGTCCCTGCACGTACGTGCCCCGCAATCCAACTAACGCTTTAGAGAAGCGCAACACAAAACTATTGAACGAAATATAGGAAACTGGAGGTGTGAGAGTGCGTACGAGGAAGAGATTGCGGCCGAACGAGGTGCGGTGCCAGCACGAGATCGTGACGCCACCTTGGTCGTCTGATTTTTCATTCACCTCACTAGACGGGCACGAAGACAGAGTACACAGAGGGACTGCGCCGTTAGGACTGCGATCAAAGTCTTCCGAAGCCAGGGGGAGGGGAAGAGGAAGAGGGAAGTGAGCGTACTAGACGACAGGCTCGGGCTCCTTCCAGACGGGGTTGAGCGTCTTCTTCACGATGGCCGTTCGGACAGACTTGCCCACCTTCTTCTGCGAATCATACATCGCCACACGACAGAACACATTCGACCCTGCAGGGTGTGCATTTGGTTAAGAAAACGCAGTGGTCAGGCGAACGAGCCGTGCAAAGAAGACATGTCTCGGTGATCGAGCCGTACCCTTCTTGGTCTTGCCGATGATGTTGCGTCCAGCCGTCACCGCCAAATGCAGCAGCTTGGTCTATGTGTGTGCGTGTGTGCGTGTGTGTGGTGTGTGTGGGTGTGTGCGGTGCATGTGTGCGGTGCGTGTATGTGTGAGTATTGGACACGGTGTGGGAGAATATATATATTCGAGAGGAGCGTGTACGCGAGGTTCGATGAACTTCTGGACGGCGGCGTGGGCGAAGAACTCGGCTTCGGTGGTGAGGAACTTGAAGAAGCGGCTGAGGAAGGCGGCCTTGTCGTGCGTGTTCACGAACATGCCGGTGGGGAACTTGGGCAGCTTCTTCCTCAGGTCCTTCTTCATCTCCTTCTTGAGCTGCTCATTCACCCCAACCGTGAGAATACTGACACAAAAAATCGAGCGAATAATAAAAATAAAAATATTAATATTAATGACTAATGACTAATGACAGATAAGGATAATTATCATAAATGAAAAAAATAAAAATAAAATGCAGGAGATAGTTACCGTCTTGTGCAGATTCTGAAATTCATCGTAGGTGCGGGAGATGCAATACTGGGTGCCGTCCTTGTGTTTGATCTCGACTTCGTACACCTGTGGCGACAGAGGCGCCAACAACAACAAACAAATGAGCAATCTGTTCGGCGGTAGAAGGGAAAATGAAGATTAACGACGAGCCGGAGGGAAACGTGCGATATTGGTCTTGCCGATGCCCCACGCCTTGTGGTTGGTGCATTGGATTTCCAGATCTTTCTTCTCCATCTTGGCCCTCAACACTTCAATCGATTGGCGCAAATCGATTGTCTTCTCTTGCTCGGCGTTCTTCTCCTTGACCGGACTGTGCTCGCCCGCACGAGGTTTTGGCGCCGTTCGACCGGAGCGCGAACGCAATTTGCCAGTTGCCAAAAATGATTTAAATCCGATCGCCCGCATTGGTGGTTGCTGGCGACAACCTGAACACCGTTACCAAGGTCGTGGGCGATTGACCCCCATTGAAAGATATTCAAAAAAGCCGAGGGAAGCAACCAACATGTTGGTGGGCCATAGAATGGGGCCACATACCAGGCGAGTGATGGATAGGTTGATTTCGGGCAGAAGTCGGTGGGCTGCTGGGAGGAACTGAGCGAAGAGCGGGCGAATGCTGGCCAGACCTGGCGCGTCACAGACATCAATCATGACAAGGCGGCCTGGCGTGTAGAAGAGGACTGGTCACGCCAACGCTCATGACAAATATCTCGAGAAAGAGCAAAGAGCAGCCGGGAAGCAAGAAGAGCGGGTGGTACTATCAATGAGCTACTGGAGGCCTGTATCACAGTCGAGGAAGGACGAAGAGGAGACGCCGGCGGTGGACATCGTGTGCGTGGATGGGAGCGAGGGCGCCGATCGCGCGATGCAGTTCGCCCTCAGGGAGTCGCCGCCGGACCACCGCCTGATGCTGCTCTTCGGTGCCTACGTGCCGCACAAGGAGGAGCTATCGTGGGGCACCTTCAGCGTGTCGTCGATGCGCGAGGGCCACTACTGGGACAAGGAGCTGCCCGACGTCTACATCAAGTACACCGACATGTGCCAGAAAGCCGGGGTGCGTACAAGTCTCGACGGGCGCAGCGCTCACTACCGAGCGGGCGTTGACGCGTGTCGTGTCGTGTCGTCTTGTGTGTCCCTGCGTGTGCAGCGCAAGTGCGACTTCATCCACTTCCACTTCGATCGCATGAGCAAGTTCGGAGACAGTGTGTGCTCCATCGCGGATAGGCACCACGCCCAGAACGTCATCCTGGCGCGCAGAAGGCAGTCGGAGAGGTCATTCCTCGGGTTAGCTCGGCCTTCTTCTCCATCGAGTTGGCCACGTCTAACCCTTCCTACTGTGCTTCCAGGAGGTTCTTGGGCTCGGGCAGCCAGGCCGTGGTAGATCGCTGTGGTGATATACCCATTACCCTGGTCACTGTCAAGCCTGATGAAAGCAAGTAGAAGGTGCCAAAGGTGCAGTGCTGTAGAAGATGAAGGTTTATTGTGAACACAAGTCAAGCATAAAGAGGAGGCAAGGGATAGGGAGGCTGTGCAGAATGGGTGGCCAAGCTTGGCTACGTGCGTCGTTCGCTTTGCTGCGGTTGTGCTGGCCCGGATTGCTCCTGCGCCTTGAATTCGTTGTAGCACTTTCGCCAATCGCTCATCTCCTTCGAACAGGTGATAAGATTACGTTCGTTCTTGTTCATGCAATCCTCCAGGTGCCAATACAACTTGCCGCACCCTATGAATCGTTAGTACAATGATTTAATCTCGAATGAAATCAGTAATCCGATTGTTGGAATGTGACTGTTGGGGCGTACGCCGGTACCTTGCTGGTCTACCAACGATGTGAACTCATCGTTGTCCTGTGGATTGTGGATGGGCATGCGTTGCGCCCTTTGCTGTGCCATCTTCTTGGTGATTTGGCAGTTTCCTGTAAATCCGGCCAAAGGCGAGTGGCGGCTGACGTCAGCTCGTGCTGGCACCCCCCCCCCAGACAGTGACGTGGCCAACAAGAAGAACGAATCCACCACACGACTAGAATCAAACACAAAGATGCAGGATGTTGCGGGTATAGATGAAAAGTACAAGCAGACGAACAAGCTCCTTATGGATCTTCGTCTCGAGTTCGAGCAGCTCGAGGCGGCAGGAGAGAATTCGTCCCTCTCGCTACAAGAAACGATTCAGCTCAACCTCACGAGCCTCTCTCGATTGCTAAACAGCCTGGAGATGGAGTGTCTCCCTTCCCAAAACTCCAAACGCAAGGAGATTTGGAGAATGTACTCTCTCTCCCCCCACTACATCTGCACCCCACGCTCACTCACGCTTTCCAATAGACGCATTCAGCAGATTGCTGAAGAGTACAAGGATATGAGAAACTCGTTGGGAAGCCTACTACAAAGAGGCGGTCAAAGGAAC